TGACTGCAGGAATTGCGGTCTATGCAAACATGACTCCTTGTAAAAAGGTGTCAGTTTTGTTGCCAGAAAGAAGGGTAAAAAACCAATTATCATATTTTTACTGGCAAATGAGGTTCCCATAGTGCTATAAAGTCGATACATACTATCATAGAGTCGATATATACGACTATAGAGTAGGTAGATGCTACTGTAGAGTCAGTAGATACGACTATGGATTCAGTAGATACTACGATAGTCATTAGATACTACTGTAGAGTTGGTTGATACTACTATAGAGTCGGCAGATACTACTATTGAGTCAGTATATACTACTACAGTCAGTAGATACTACTACAGAGTCAGCAGATACTGCTAGAGTCAGCAGTTACTATTATAGTCAGTGGATACTACTGCAGAGTCAGTAGATACTACTACAGAGTCAGTAGATACTACTGTAGAGTTAGTAGGGACTACTTTAGTCATTAGTTACTATTGCAGAGTCAGTAGTTACTACTATAGAGTGGGTAGATACTACTGTAGGGTCAGTATCTTCTTGGTTCTTTCGGTAAAGTCACGTAGTAGGGAAGTAATAAAATAATAAAATAAAACATAATAAAATAATATAATTTATTATTTTATTACTTCCCTACTACGTGACTTTACCGAAAGAACCAAGAAGATGAATCCCTGCAGTCACGAAAGCTTTAAATCGAAATGTAGGGTCAGTAGTTACTACAATAGTCAGTAGCTACTACTGGGCTCAGTAGATACTACTGTACATTCAGTAGATACAACTGAGTCAGCAAATACTACTATAGTCAGTAGACACTACTGTCAAGCCAAATACTATTGGAGAGTCCGATACTACTATAGACTCATCAGATACGACTCACTCTCGTGTATGTACTACTATGTAGGGTGTGTAGGTATATATGCCTACGTGGGGGTAAAGATATTTTTGAGGGGGGGGGGGGGATGTCGACAATTTTCGAAAACCTTTCAACTATTTACCCCCCCCCCCCCCCCCCCCCCACTTTCTATAACTTTTTGAACTTCTGCAAGCTTCTTATAATTTTGTTGACGGACAAATGGACAAACGGCCTGCTGGGCTTTCACAATAGCTTAGTATTTGTGTATGTATATGTTATGTTTTTAAGCGAAGTTTTGAAATACATTTTTCCCCCGGGCAACGCCATGTACTTCCCGCTAGTGAGATATATATTCTTGTTAACATCGACTTACGAACGCGAACTCGCACTTGCGAACTGAACCGCGGAACTATTTTGTTCAGCAAGACGTAATGAGTCACGCTAGGAGTGAGTATGTGTGTTCGCGTGAGGGTACATTTGTGTGAAAATGAGTATGTGTGAAAGTGAATGTGCGCGTGTGTGTACGTGATGCCCATGCCCCCGTGTGTGTGTATGTGGGGAGCAGCAGTGTAATGGTTAGTGTGCTGTGCTACCAACCCAGCGACCCGAGTTCGATTGCTGCTCACGACCAATACCGGTGATGAATATCTGAATGGGTCCTGGGCCTCCCCTAGGTCGACTCAGCCTCAAATGAGTACCTCGTGCGGTGTGTAAGCATCGAGACAAATGTGGCTGGGCATGGTGCTGGCCACCCACCCCCTCGTGTGCCAGCCTTCAAAATTTCTCACTAACAACACTTTCCCCGACAGTCTGGTAAGATTATATGGGGGATCATTGTTGTTGTGGGTGAGTGTGTGCGTGTGCCCTGTGTGCGTGTAATTGTGTAGACTCATGCCTCTTCCGACAAGCAAGCCAGCATCAGGACTCAAGGTAAATAAAAAATAAAACGGATTTATTTTCTCTATTTCTATTTATTTTATGTTCTTTTATTTTATTTACTACACAGTATTTATTACAGCATTACATACAAATGTAAAATATTTCTTCTTATTTTCTAGTTTAACAGTGCTTTCCTCTTTTGTTGAAAGTTTAACACATTTTATAATGCCTTTTGTGCATTTAAATCAAGAACATCATTCCGTTCCGACTTACGAACAGGTCTCAGGAATTAAACCCGTCCGTAAGTCGAGGACTTTCCCGTATGGTGCATAATTGTATTCTATGGCCTGTGATGCAACACGCTTCACCACGAAGCATAAGTCAGGGCAATACTTGTATTGTTATTTTTATATTCATGAAAGCAGATGACACCATCCATGACTAGCGATAAGACGACAACGTACAGGGCACTCCACTCACCCCATGCCCTTTAACTCTTCCCAGCATCTCCGCGGATAATAGAACGCAAGAACTGAAAACCCTTGATCAGCGACAGCGCAGAGTGGAGGAAGTTCTCGTATTTCCTTAGCCATCAAACTAAGCTACAGCTTGTCTGAAGTAATACAAAAATAACATGTAGAATATCATTATAAAGATTGTAATCATGTTAGGCCACCCTGTATTGTGGAAAATAAGGGGTATGGGCTGGAGTGGCCTAGAGGAGTTATGCTACAGGTAAACACAGTCCCATTAAAGTAACTGCTCTTATCTCTGAATGATCTTGGACCCTAAATACCAATGCCCCAGGGCAAAACGCACTACTGCAATATGCAATACCAAGTTGCCATATTATGTATGTATGTGTCTCTCTCTATGTATCTCTGTGATATCTGTCTCTGCTTATATGTCTGTCTATATGTCTCTGGTTCTGTGTTTTATCTCTGTTTTATCTCTATCTCAAATTTAGCATTCTCAGGAAGAACGTAATCAACCAGGTAGGGTGTTGACTGTTATGTTATCCGACTCTCTGTTGTATTACATTACATTTCTAAGTATACTAGATTTGTGTTTCTATTTCATTTATACCTGATGATGATTGCTTGTGTTGCAATCGAAACGTCGTATGCTAGTATTTAATTTATTATTTTCTCTTTATACGTGACTTTACCGAAAGAACCAAAAGTAATTCCTGCAGTCACGAAAGCTCCAAATTAAGTTTAAGTTTGCCATATTAACTTCATTCGCAGAGCTATTGCTGTGTGTCTAGTGTTATGTTTCTATATGATAAACAAATATGTACGTTTGTATAAACACCCATGACCGTGGAACGATGTTTTAGAAAATACCAAACGGGGATGGAGGGAATGGGGAGTTGCCACACTGTTACAATTCAAGGGTCAAAGCGTCTTGCTGCTCAAACAGGCAGAAATGCTGGGCCAGACGTGAGATCCAACACAGCTCCCGCTAACATGTTTTCCAATTCTTATGAAGTTGGCATCATTTTCGCAGTCCATGCTACGCCACAATTCCTTCGAAAAAGTAGTTCTTCAAAACACTGTTATCATTATAAATGAACGCGGTGTTACTTATTACAAGTTAAATTTGCTTCATTTTAAGTAAAAAGTATAAAGCTCATGCACAACATATATAAACAGCAAATATGGAATCTCATAACAGACGGAAAAGCAATCAAAACCCACCATTAATACATTGACAGAACTTCATATTATCAATGTTCAATATAAAATGCATTATGCTCCTTTCAAACATGTACATGGGAATGTAAATTAGCATCCATGACTGTAAATACTTGTTAAATGCAGCAAATACTTAAATTCCCGTCATAACAGGCAGCCCCCCCCCCCGCCATAGGAACACTCAGTCGTGTTGAAACAAAATGCTTCATTTAAAGGCACTTTACACATTTCCATGGAAGGCTTAGACTGTAGTTACACATTAGCCCTGACAGGAGATAACAGAAGAAGAAAGAAAGGGCTATGTGGCTGCCCCAGTATAATTTTATTGCAGTGTGTGGCAATGTGGCCACGTGGAGTGGCGGTGGCTTCGGCACTGCAGTTATAGAAAGGGCTTCACGTGCCAAGTCAGGCCGCCAGGTTAGGATAATCGACCCGGCCTCATCATCAACTTCTGTGGTAAATAAAACTATAGCGCTACGTTGGTGGGGGGGAGTGCACAGTGGCAACGTGGCCCAGCCTTGGTAATGTGGACTTTCCACTGTGACCTCCAGGTCGCCTGGAGGCGATGAGATCTGCCACATTGCCTGTTTGAGCGTGGAGACACTTTGACCCTTGAATTGTAAGGGTGTAGCAACTCCCCCCCCTCCTTCCCTCCGACTGGTATTTTCAAAAACATCGTTCCACGGTCATGGGTGTTTATACAAACGGGACACATTTGTTTATCGATATATTAATTTCCTCTGGGACTGTAAGAACAACTCGCGATGAAGCACCACATGAAGGCTCAATCACGTCCAGTTGTATACATGAGGAAATTGAAGTGCTATGAACGACAGTTAAATGTGGTCTAAAGTTCCGTTGGTAAAGTTGTGGAAAACCCACGAGGCATAACGTGAACTCGAGCTACGCTAACACTCAAAAGGAGTGCAAGAATGAGCGTGAATTAATAATTACATTGTGGAGAATGGAAATGAGGAACAAATACCATCGATCACAATCGGCTCCCTATAACAATTTAACACGTATGCTTTCACGATTTGGCAGGTTTTGTTTACGTAACAAACCTTGCTTTTTGGCTGTGTCGGGTTTAACGAGACAATTTATATTTACACGATCGAACCCAAAAAAGTCTCTACTGTGGTTCTTATACCAAGCCAAGTCACAATTTGAATTCTTAGAATTCAGGAAAAAACAACCACAATCAACCATTGCAGTCAAACACAAGCGATGCGTTATAAATGATCGCTTAACCAAGTGGCTTATCAAGTGTCAATTTACAGAAGCGGCCAAATACTCTAAATGCGTGATGCCGATTCTAAACGTGGAGGGAAAAAAACGAAGGACCCGGAGAAAAAGAGAGAGAAAGAACATACAATCTCCAAATATACAGCAGGCATCATGGTCGGGATCGAACCCACGACCTCCTGCACACCAGGTGAGGGAGTTAACGTCTCGCCACCATGGTGCCCGAACTGTTCACAACCACAACGCAGTATTTATGCGGAACACGACTATCATTGTCTATAACGTTCACACACATGATATATATTTTTTTACGCTTTTCGTCAATTCGTACCTTTCTCTGGTGGCAGGTGGTGCCTGTGCAGTGATTTCAGCTGGAGGAGGGAACCCAAGAGGAGAGTGGGGGGGTGCAAATCCTCCAGCGACCTTCAAAGGCCTCCGCCAAAATACCTCTCAACTTGGAAAGCAGCTCCTAAAGGGGGTGCCAAGCACATTCGACAACAACGCACGACAAATCAGAAAATAAGTTGTCATCCGATTTGGACAAAAAAAACCAACACACGCTTTAGAACGTTTACATGCAGATGCGTGACGACCTCTGCAGATGGTACCGTGTGACTCGTGCAGCAAAGCCTGATAAGACTGGGCACGCTGGTACAGACAAGCAAGCAACCGTGCACCTTGCACTCGAAGCAAACATTGAAGATTTGAATGCAAGACCATGGAAACATTGATCATCTTTTAATTATTAACCGAGCCGAGCTGGATGCCACAAAAAACACACACAAACACACGCAGACCCCATTTACACATGCACGGATAGACTTTGAGGACAATTGTTGTTAGCGAGCACCTATTGAAGTCAGCGTGGCGTACAAGGAACCTGATGTATCAACTCCAATCCCAACTGGCTTTGTCACCTTGGTGCTGTCAACGTCACACACAAAGTACTTTATTTTGGTGCAGAATTGACCAAGAGGAAACCCAGCCCAATAATCACCACTTGTCACTGTGTATTAAAACGTATTTGCTGGAATCCTAGTGCAGTGGAAAACATATCTTTGTATAACCCCTTGTAGTAATAACATATACACAGACACGTAAGCATATACACACGTGCGCGTGCCGTCTTATTTTGCCAGCAACTAGCTTTGTCTTTTCTTTGCCAATGGTGAAATGTAAATGGTATTGTACCATGTATCCTTAATTTAATGTATTCTTTATCGAACCAAGCTGTGGTAACTTGCGCTGTCAAATTTACTGAGGGCCATAACAAAAAGAACAACCCACAGGGAAAGATGTGATGTTTCAGTTATAGCAGATAATGTTTCAGATGTCACAAGTAAATAACTAAGCAGCGCCCTTCATATACAAAACAGGGAAAGCTCCCAAGCCAGACGGAATGGCTGAACATCAAAGCCGGACAAGTAATTTAAACAACATTAAGCTGACCTATTTATGAAAATGTTTACAAAGGAATGAAATACCCATAAGTTGTGGACTGGTTTCTGACTCACGGTTCAAAAAGGCAATCAAACCTGATCTCAAAAATTGCCGACCCATTAACCTACTATCACATATACTCTACATAAATTATTCTCAAAGATGTCAAGAAAATTAAATACAGTCACGGAAATGTAAGAGGCCAATCTATGACGGGAGCAAGTTGTATTAGGAAATGTGTCCACCAGTGACCACACATATACAAATATGTCCACCAGTGCCCACACATATACAAATTTGTCCACCAGTGACCACACATATACAAATATGTCCACCAGTGACCACACATATACAAATTTGTCCACCAGTGACCACACATATACAAATATGTCCACCAGTGACCACACATATACAAATATGTCCACCAGTGACCACACATATACAAATTTGTCCACCAGTGACCACACATATACAAATATGTCCACCAGTGACCACACATATACAAATATGTCCACCAGTGACCACACATATACAAATTTGTCCACCAGTGACCACACATATACAAATTTGTCCACCAGTGACCACACATACACAAATATGTCCACCAGTGACCACACATATACAAATATGTCCACCAGTGACCACACATATACAAATTTGTCCACCAGTGACCACACATATACAAATTTGTCCACCAGTGACCACACATATACAAATTTGTCCACCAGTGCCCACACATACACAAATATGTCCACCAGTGACCACACATATACAAATTTGTCCACCAGTGACCACACATATACAAATATGTCCACCAGTGACCACACATATACAAATATGTCCACCAGTGACCACACATATAAAAATTTGTCCACCAGTGACCACACATATACAAATATGTCCACCAGTGACCACACATATACAAATTTGTCCACCAGTGACCACACATATACAAATTTGTCCACCAGTGCCCACACATACACAAATATGTCCACCAGTGACCACACATATACAAATTTGTCCACCAGTGCCCACACATATACAAATATGTCCACCAGTGACCACACATATACAAATTTGTCCACCAGTGACCACACATATACAAATTTGTCCACCAGTGCCCACACATACACAAATATGTCCACCAGTGACCACACATATACAAATTTGTCCACCAGTGCCCACACATATACAAATATGTCCACCAGTGACCACACATATACAAATATGTCCACCAGTGACCACACATACACAAATATGTCCACCAGTGACCACACATATACAAATTTGTCCACCAGTGACCACACATATACAAATATGTCCACCAGTGACCACACATATACAAATTTGTCCACCAGTGACCACACATATACAAATTTGTCCACCAGTGCCCACACATACACAAATATGTCCACCAGTGACCACACATATACAAATTTGTCCACCAGTGCCCACACATATACAAATATGTCCACCAGTGACCACACATATACAAATTTGTCCACCAGTGACCACACATATACAAATTTGTCCACCAGTGCCCACACATACACAAATATGTCCACCAGTGACCACACATATACAAATTTGTCCACCAGTGCCCACACATATACAAATATGTCCACCAGTGACCACACATATACAAATATGTCCACCAGTGACCACACATACACAAATATGTCCACCAGTGACCACACATATACAAATTTGTCCACCAGTGACCACACATATACAAATATGTCCACCAGTGACCACACATATACAAATATGTCCACCAGTGACCACACATATACAAATTTGTCCACCAGTGCCCACACATACACAAATATGTCCACCAGTGACCACACATATACAAATTTGTCCACCAGTGCCCACACATATACAAATATGTCCACCAGTGACCACAGATAAAAACGGCACCTATAAAAAGACGCACGCGAATGAAATTCCATTCACGCCGAGACATTTTTGTTAAATACATTTGATTAATTGTAAATGTAATCATCTAAGCTCTCACAAACCAGGCTTGAACAAAATAATATGTACAGTATATCCATGGTAAACAAAAACTCCGTCAAAGAACCACTACACTGAATATGAACACAGCATAAATGACAAAACAGAAGGGGCAGTAATCCAATGAGATTTGCTTTGACTGTGGCGAATTACAAGAGCCGAATACATTTTTCTGAAAAATTGGATGGGAGAAAGCGGGCATTGGAGAAAAGGGATACCATTGGATGGGAGAAAATGCATAACAATGGATGGGAGAAAAGGAATAACATTGGATGGGAGAAAAGGCATAACATTGGATGGGAGAAAAGGAATAACATTGGATGGGAGAAAAGGGATAACATTGGATGGGAGAAAAGGCATAACATTGGATGGGAGAAAAGGGATAACATTGGCTGGGAGAAAAGGCATAACATTGGATGGGCGAAAAGGGATAACATTGGATGGGAGAAAAGGCATAACACGCGTCGAGAACGTAAATAGCCATTTCATAATTGCCGACAATGGGAATTAAAAACAAGCAAGGGACTACAGGAAATGACTGCGAAGTTTGTGGCACCAGATAAAGGGGGCACGTTTTCAATTCAATGAAGAGAGAGGCTAACGAGAGGATGGCACACATTTGTAGAACATGAACTTCGTAATTGAGAGGCATACACCAACCGAATGTGCTCGCATGAGTATGATTTCAATGAGTGGATATGATATTCCCAGATTTTTTACATATGGGACCATACCACATGATCACAAAGAATTGTAGCAGGAAGCGTGGAGAGATGCCATGCCCACTGAGAGACTGGGATAGGAGTATTAAAGAATGTGGGCACAAATGCCAATGAGACATCACGCTGACCTGCTTGCTCATGGAAGATGTGTTGCTTGGCACATTTGCTATGTTGGGTTGATGGCCAATAGGTCGAGACTTGCAATGGGAAGACAGGACAACTACCGTTGAGACGGAGTGTGGTGGAGTGATGCCATTCACGTGTACAGGAATTAGCGAGGCCTTGATACAAAAAAAGAACAGGACAGCGAGTGATGGATGTAGGAGAGGCATTCTTTCAGCAGTTGACATGCAATAAGTGACATTACTGTATACACATGCTAACATGCGCTACCGTACGATATACGTGTGCCCTGCCATATTGTAATCACACAGATACAGGGGGTACATAGGCACACACTACACTACACGTGACGACTCACACAACACTACACTACACATTTACAAACACACCCCATCAGACGTTGCACGCGAACCACACACCACGACACACTTGCACACGCACAGTACTTTATACACGTCCATGCAAATAGAACACGTGTGCGTAAACAATGCGGACCCTCTTACACAGCCACACGCACCGCGTGCATGATAAGATATTAGACACGCTACACTGGTGTACACATGTGTGTACACACACACACTGCATACACACACACTGCATACACACACACTGCATACACACACACTGCACACACACAACACACACTGCATACACACACACTGCATACACACACACTGCATACACACACTGCATACACACACACTGCATACACACACACTGGATACACACACTGCATACACACACTGCATACACACACCGCATACACACACATTGCATACACAACACACACACTGCATACACAACACACACACTGCATACACAACACACACACACACTCTACATACACACACTGTATACACACACAACACACACACACTGCATACACACACACAACACACACACAACACACACACTGCATACACACACACACACTGCATACACACACACAACACACACACTCTGCATACACACACACACTGCATGCACACACACACACACTGCATACACACACACTGCATACCCACACACCGCATACACACACCGCATACACACACTGTATACACACACACTGCATACACACACACTGCATACACAACACACACACTGCATACACAACACACACACACTCTACATACACATACACTGCATACACACACAACACACACACTGCATACACACACACAACACACACTGCATACACACACTGTATACACACACACTGCACACACACACACACTGCATACACACACACAACACACACACTGCACACACACTGCATATACACACACACTGCATATACACACACACTGCATACACACCCCATACACACACACACACTGTATACACACACACACCATGCACACACACTGTATACACACACTGCATACACACCATACACACACACTGTATACACACACTGCACACACACTGCATACACACACACTGCATACACACACACACTGCATACACACACACACTGCATACACACACACACTGCACACACACTGCATACACACTGCATACAGACACACAACACACACACAACGCTCACACTGCATACACAGACACTGCACACACACACACACTGCATACACACACACACTGCATACACACACACAACAAATACACTGCATATACACACACTGCACACACACTGCATATACACACACACTGCATACACACACCATACACACACACTGTATACACACACACACCATACACACACACTGTATACACACACACTGCACACACACCATACACACACACTGTATACACACACTGCACACACACTGCATACACACACACTGCATACACACACACACTGCATACACACACACACTGCATACACACACACACTGCACACACACTGCATACACACTGCATACAGACACACAACACACACACAACGCACACACTGCATACACAGACACTGCACACACACACACACTGCATACACACACACACTGCATACACACACACAACACATACACTGCATATACACACACTGCACACACACTGCATATACACACACACTGCATACACACACCATACACACACACTGCACACACACCATACACACACACTGTATACACACACTGCACACACACACACACTGCACACACACTGCATACACACACACCATACACACACACTGCACACACACACTGCACACACACACACTGCATACACACTGCATACAGACACACACACCATACACAGACACACACACTGCACACACACTATATACACACACAACAACAACACACTGCATACACAACGACACAACACTCGGGGGAGGCCCAGGATCGCGGTGCGCTCACCACCTACACACACACGTGGACACAAAGGACACACACTGTACACACACACGTGTACACAAAGCACATACACTGTACACAACACACTGTACACACCACACACTGTACACATACACTGCACACACACACTGTACACACCACACATACACTGTACACAAAACACATACACTGTACACACACGTGTGCACAACACACACTGTACACATCACACACGTGTGTTGCGGCATGTACACACTGTACATCACACACGTGTGTTGCGGCATGTACACACTGTACTGTACACTAACAACTAAGGACGGCAGAGCGGCATGGCTCGTCTTAGACGCGGGGAATCCGCTTCACTCCCCATCGCCATCATCACGAGTGAAGATGCATTCACAATCACCCATCATCATCATCACCGGCGACCAACGTTGGGATGAGTTCACGACCACCACCACCATCACCAACATCACCACCACCACCAACATCACGACCATCATCATCACGGCGACTAAGAAGAGTGTTACGGGTTTACATCACGCATCATCATCATTACCGGCGACCAACAGAGTGGCAATGGATTCACACCACCACCAACATCACCACCATTATCATCATCACCACCATCACCACCATCATCATCACCACCACCATCACCACTACCATCACCACCATCATCATCACCACCACCAACCACCATCATCAACACCACGTCGGTGATGTTCATCGGCCGCGGGCACACCGAGAGCCCCTCGCTATGGACACAATTGAAGCTCTTAAGAGACGGAGGAGGAGAAGGATGATGGAGGAGGATGATGATGATGAAGGAGCAGCAGCAGCGATTGATACTCACACACTCAGCGGCCTGGCCATTTTTCCCCGGACCCTTGCGCAGTCTTTGGTGTGTGTCTGTGTGTGTCTCCACTGTACGTGAGTGTGTGTCTGTGTGTGTGTTAGTGTGTGTGTGTCACTGTGTTACTGTGTGTTACTGTGTGTGTGTGTGCTGAATGGTTTGTAGCGCGCCGAGTGGAGCGACTGCACGGATGTTGCTGTCACGACTGCGCGCACTGTAGTCTGTGTGTGTGTCTGTGTGTGTGCGTAGTGTGTGTGTCTGTGTGTGTGTGTCTGTGTGTGTGCGTAGTGTTTGTGTCTGTGTGTGTGTGTCTGTGTATCTGTGTGTCTGTGTGTCTGTGTGTGTCTGTCTGTCTGTGTATCTGTGTGTGTGTCTGTGTGTGTCTGTCTGTGTGTGTGTAGTGTGTGTCTGTGTGTGTCTGTCTGTGTGTGTGTATCTGTGTGTCTGTGTGTGTCTGTCTGTGTGTGTGTAGTGTGTGTCTGTGTGTGTCTGTCTGTGTGTGTGTAGTGTGTGTGTGTCTGTGTCTGTGTGGATACCCGAGTCCGATTCCCGCTCACGGTCAACACCCAGTGACGATTATCTGAACCGGTCCTGGGCCTCCCCTAGGTCGACTCAGCCTCAAATGAGTACCTGGTGTGGTGTGTAGTAAACATCGTCACTAGGGAGACAAAGGCGGTCGGGCGTGGTGCTGGCCACCCACCCCCTCGTGTGCCGTGCCGGCCTTCATAGGTGCTCGCTAACAGCACTTGCCCCTGCAGTCTGTGCAGGCTACACGGGGGATCTTTGATCTCCCGAAGACGGTGTGTGTCTGTGTGTGTGTATAGGTGTGTGTGTGTGTGTGTAGGGGGTGATTGTGTGTGTGTGTGTAGGGGGGTGATTGTGTGTGTGTGTGTCTGTGTGTGTGTGTAGGGGGGTGATTGTGTGTCTGTGTGTGTAGGGGGGTGATTGTGTGTCTGTGTGTAGGGGGGTGATTGTGTGTGTGTAGGGGGGTGATTGTGTGTGTGTAGGGGGTGATTGTGTGTGTGTGGAGGGGGGTGATTGTGTGTGTGTGTAGGGGGGTGATTTGTGTGTGTGTGTGGAGGGGGGTGATTGTGTGTGTGTGTGTGGAGGGGGTGATTGTGTGTGTGTGTGGAGGGGGGTGATTGTGTGTGTGTGTGTAGGGGGGTGATTGTGTGTGTGTGTAGGGGGGTGATTGTGTGTGTGTGTGTGGAGGGGGGTGATTGTGTGTGTGTGGAGGGGGGTGATTGTGTGTGTGTGGAGGGGGTGATTGTGTGTGTGTGTAGGGGGGTGATTGTGTGTGTGTGTGTGAAGGGAGGTGATAGTGTGTGTGTGTGTGGGGGGGGTGATTGTGTGTGTGTGTGGAGGGGGGTGATTGTGTGTGTGTGTAGGGGGGTGATTGTGTGTGTGTGTGGAGGGGGGTGATTGTGTGTGTGTGTGTAGGGGGGTGATTGTGTGTGTGTAGGGGGGTGATTGTGTGTGTGTGTGGAGGGGGGTGATTGTGTGTGTGTGGAGGGGGTGATTGTGTGTGTGTGTAGGGGGGTGATTGTGTGTGTGTGGAGGGGGGTGATAGTGTGTGTGTGTGTGGGGGGGTAATTGTGTGCGTGTGTGGAGGGGGGTGATTGTGTGTGTGTGTAGGGGGGTGATTGTGTGTGTGTGTGGAGGGGGGTGATTGCGTGTGTGTGTAGGGGGGTGATTGCGTGTGTGTGTGGAGGGGGGTGATTGTGTGTGTGTGGAGGGGGGTGATTGTGTGTGTGTGTGGAGGGGGGGTGATTGTGTGTGTGTGGAGGGGGGTGATTGTGTGTGTGTGTGGAGGGGGGTGATTGTGTGTGTGTGGAGGGGGGTGATTGTGTGTGTGTGGAGGAGGGTGATTGTGTGTGTGTGGAGGGGGTGATTGTGTGTGTGTGTGGAGGGGGGTGATTGTGTGTGTGTGTGGAGGGGGGTGATTGTGTGTGTGTGTGGAGGGGGGTGATTGTGTGTGTGTGGAGGGGGTGATTGTGTGTGTGGAGGGGGGTGATGTGTGTGTGTGTGGAGGGGGGTGATTGTGTGTGTGTGTGGAGGGGGGTGATTGTGTGTGTGTGGAGGGGGTGATTGTGTGTGTGTGTGTGGAGGGGGGTGATTGTGTGTGTGTGTGGAGGGGGGTGATTGTGTGTGTGTGTGTGTGGAGGGGGGTGATTGTGTATGTGTGGAGGGGGTGATTGTGTGTGTGTGTGTGGAGGGGGGTGATTGTGTGTGTGTGGGAGGGGGGTGATTGTGTGTGTGTGTGGAGGGGGGTGATTGTGTGTGTGTGTGGAGGGGGGTGATTGTGTGTGTGTGTGGAGGGGGGTGATTGTGTGTGTGTGTGTAGGGGGGTGATTGTGTGTGTGTGGAGGGGGTGATTGTGTGTGTGTGTAGGGGGGTGATTGTGTGTGTGTGTGGAGGGGGGGTGATTGTGTGTGTGTGGAGGGGGTGATTGTGTGTGTGTGTAGGGGGGTGATTGTGTCTGTGTGTGGAGGGGGTGATTGTGTGTGTGTGTAGGGGGGTGATTGTGTGTGTGTGTGTAGGGGGGTGATTGTGTGTGTGTGGAGGGGGGTGATTGTGTGTGTGTGGAGGGGGGTGATTGTGTGTGTGTGTAGGGGGGTGATTGTGTGTGTGTGTGGAGGGGGGTGATTGTGTGTGTGTGTAGGGGGGTGATTGTGTGTGTGTGTGGAGGGGGGGTGATTGTGTGTGTGTGGAGGGGGTGATTGTGTGTGTGTGTAGGGGGGTGATTGTGTGTGTGTGGAGGGGGGTGATTGTGTGTGTGTAGGGGGGTGATTGTGTGTGTGTGGAGGGGGTGATTGTGTGTGTGTGTAGGGGGGTGATTGTGTGTGTGTGTAGGGGGGTGATTGTGTGTGTGTGTGGAGGGGGGGTGATTGTGTGTGTGTGGAGGGGGGTGATTGTGTGTGTGTGTAGGGGGGTGATTGTGTGTGTGTGTAGGGGGGTGATTGTGTGTGTGTGGAGGGGGGTGATTGTGTGTGTGTGTGTGTAGGGGGGTGATTGTGTGTGTGTGTGTGGAGGGGGTGATTGTGTGTGTGTGGAGGGGGGTGATTGTGTGTGTGTGTGGAGGGGGGTGATTGTGTGTGTGTGTGTAGGGGGGTGATTGTGTGTGTGTGTAGGGGGGTGATTGTGTGTGTGTGGAAGGGGTGATTGTGTGTGTGTGTGGAGGGGGTGATTGTGTGTGTGTGTGTGGAGGGGGTGATTGTGTGTGTGTGTGTGGAGGGGGGTGATTGTGTGTGTGTGTGGAGGGGGGTGATTGTGTGTGTGTGTGTGTGGAGGGGGTGATTGTGTGTGTGTGTGTGGAGGGGGGTGATTGTGTGTGTGTGTAGGGGGGTGATTGTGTGTGTGTGTGTAGGGGGGTGATTGTGTGTGTGTGGAGGGGGGTGATTGTGTGTGTGTGGAGGGGGGTGATTGTGTGTGTCTGTGTGTAGGGGGGTGATTGTGTGTGTGTGGAGGGGGGTGATTGTGTGTGTGTGTGGAGGGGGGGTGATTGTGTGTGTGTGTGTGGAGGGGGGTGATTGTGTGTGTGTGGAGGGGGGGGTGATTGTGTGTGTGTGGAAGGGATTGTGTGTGTGGAGGGCGGATTGTGTGTTTGTGGAGGGCGGATTGTGTGTGTGGAGGGGGATGTGTGTGGATGGTGGCAGTCGGTAATGCTGCCGTGGCTGAGCAATGTGCCATTGGGTGAAGGCCGACTCCAATCAGCTATTCCCCGCATGGCTCTCGTAGCCACGGCAGCGGCAAACGGGGGCTCTGGACGACCGAATATCAAACTAAGCTTTTGCTGGAGGCCCCGGGGGAAGGGGGGGACAGGTGTCTTCATTAACTTACCTATTTTACCAGGTAAGGTCTACTGAGCCACATAGCTCTTTTTCATAAGCGACCTGGCCACAATTGATAGCTCAGTGAAGTAGCTTATCGTGTTGGAATTTATAAGTTTCGACGCATTTTTCTAAATGTGGAAGGAAAAACCAGTGGGCCCAGAGAAAAATCCATTCGACCGTGGGGAGAACATGCACATTGTAAATATACAGGCGTCAGGGTTGTGATTGAACCGACGGCCCTCCAGGATACCAAGCGAGGTAGCGAACATCTCGCCACTCCATGACGAGTGGTCACGTGCAATGTTTGAATGCTCACTTCGGAGGAGAGGCTGCCACTTCGCTATCGGGAGGTGGACCGGTACCGCGTGGATTTCTGTGGTATTCAAGAGGTCTGGTGGACTGGTTCTGGCTCCAGTCACTATGAGGGGGTAGACAGTCCTCTCCTCGGGACAGGAAACTTCCAAACAACAGGGAGTGGCTCTTCTTATGAACAAGATGAAGGGGGCGTGGAAGCATGGTGGTCTTCTTCTGTCGTATAACTGTTGTGGATGCAGAGCAACAACTACAATTTCACATTCTGGTGGTCAAGCCAGACAATCGCGTCAAGAGCAGAGGATTGCATCCCTGTAACGTATACTTCGTCTTTGTGGATTGGGCATTGCGTCGTTTCTGTATTATGGCCTGTTCTGGGTGACCACAGGCGCACACTGGAGTTTTACATTTTCCATTTGTGCATCAGTCAGAGGTTCTGCTGGTTGGGACTCAGGCAAAAACATTTCTGGTAGGAACAGGTGTGGCAATCGCGGACTCCAGGATTCAGTTTTTGACTCATCTAAAGAGCCTTGGCACCATATTCGACCAAAATACGTCGTTTAATCACCGCGTACAAAATATAGTCAGGTCCTGCAATTTTCATATCAGGACTCTACGACACATTCGACCACGACGGTGGTGTGTAGCCTAGTATCGAGAAGGCTCGATTATTGCAACTCACTACTCTTCGGGACGTCTGGCAAAAACATTAGCAAGCTGCAGCATGCATGAAATTATTTGGCACATGTTGTGATGGGTACTGCAAGAACCGACCTGCATTGGCTTCTGGTTGCTGAACGAATGCATGATAAGGTCACACTTATGATGAAAATAATAAAAATTTAGAATGCACATTCCATCTGAGGATCCCAATGCGCAAAAAGTCCAAACTACCTTGCTGATGTGGGTGATGATGGGCCTATGTTGGGAAAGTTTGAGTATTTTTTGGGAGTATGCATAAAGTGTGCTCCCACTTTGATCCTTGAAAACGATGGCGAGGTCCACGCTGTAGTCACTTTGCCAGCGAGAAAGAGTGGAAAGTTGCTTCTTGCTTGGCATCGAAAAACAGGTGCAGATCTTCAACGGACATCCAGTCAGTGAGGTCTTCGAAGTCGGCCTGATTTGGGGGCCAACCATTTAGTAAGTACGCATGGAGGGGGAAGGGAGGGGTTAACCCAAATACGTACACTTGCGTATGGGGGGTCTATTGACAATGTACGTACACATAGGAAACGGGGGGGGAGGGTGAAGCCTCGATAAAAATGTGTACATTGGCCTTCAAATGAATCAGATAGTCCAGTGGTGGACTATCTGTTTGCTTAAACACGTTAATATTATTAATCCTTAAAAATATTGGCCATTATGATTCGTGGGGGGGGGGGGGGGTTGCGTCAAGCGTACGTACGCAGGTGGGGGGGGGGGGGGTGTAAAAGTACGCG